ATTTAGTCAGTATTTTTTTATAGCTTTAAATTTTAATTTCTTACCCATTAGCGCTGACTTTGTTTATCCCTATTGATAATTCGATACAATACTGAATTAGTAATTAATATAGGTGTTTTATGCTAGAGAAAGCTATAAAAATTTGATATTGGTTTTGATACTTTCGTTGAAAATCGTTTCTTATCACTATCATTATCCCGTTGATTCGATACAGTTTTCATTAAATTAAATCATTTTTAAACGCTGTTTAAGACTGTGGGTGGAAAATTTATATAAACTATAATTTAAATAATGCTACTATTTATTGTTTACTTCCTGTAAATTTAATATTTTGGGCGCATAAAAAACATCTGGCTGTAAAAGTTGTGAATATAAAGTCTAAAGTCAACATTATTATCTATAATAGCATTAGAACGATTACAAATTTTATCTATTTGGCCACCTTAGTAACTGAGTGACCAGTGCCATTAACCTAAAAGTTCTAAGGTAAGTTTTACTAAAATGTTCAATTATAGCGCCAAAATATCAGAATTGAAATGGTAGCTATGGCTAGACATAACTGGAGCATCAAATAAATTCCATATTCCACGTAAATCTGCGAGACTGGAAAGTCGATAACTGTAGCGTAGTGATATAGAAAAAATAATATGCGTGTGTATGGACGGATAACTCTAAATATTCAGGCTAGTTTAATTTAAAAACAGGCTAATGCTATTATTTCCTCAGAAAATCGAGATTTTTCGTTATCCTAATTTTAATTCATGGATTGCGATCGAAAGCTTGTGAATGATACATTTACAGCATTTAAAGGGAAATCTTTTACAAAAATCTCGATTAATGTTATTTCAGATAGTATGACAAGCTTCTGGAATATGCCAATTACGGCACAATTCTAAAATATAATAAATGTTAAACCGTCAATTAATAAGAGCCTATAGACCTGTTTATCATATTATAATCTTACGAACGTTAAAATATTTTAAGTATTTATCGAGCGTTTTCGAATAATTTGTAAGTGTTCTCACATTTAATAATGTATAAATCCGTTATTATGTAGCAATCATCACCGGTCCAAATAGCTCACGAATTATACTTTTATTTTCTATATTAATGACAACTAGTAAATTTCGAATTTTTGTAATAGTAAAATAATTTTAATTCTCTTAAAATCTGATGCTAATCATATTATCTACGGACTTTTAGGTATTATTTAAAATCATTTATTAGACTAGTATGTAAGTAATGTATAGCAATAATTTTAACAGTGTATCTAAGTAATTATGATATACCGGTAAATAACAATTCTAGCGGTTCATCTATGAGCACACTAAAACTTTTACGTAGCAGTTTAAGTTAAACTAATCTTAAAAATTGAAACCATTAAAATAGGAAATACGGTTTTTTATTCAAATTTTGAAATCATACACGTATTATTATCAAAGGGTATTCTAGTAGCTCAATTTATTTAACAAACTTCAACGGAATTTCGCACTATGTAAGCGATATTTAAGAAAAACATGTTCATCAATCAGCGTTTTGCTATTTCATTTTGTACAGGAATTACGATTGGATATATTTGCAAATTTTAATCGACAAAACTAAACTTAGACTCAATGGTTGATATAAAAGAATCCTAATGCATTTTGAAATCTTCCGTTCTTTTAAGCTTAGAGTTATCAAATATTTTTATGAATATGTCTAAAGCCTAATGGATCTATCTACAGATAAACAAAGCTTGATTATACCGTTGCTAATAAATAGTATTATGAAGTGTTTCTAATTTCCTTTATGTACTGATGATAATTAGCGATTTTTTGATGTTTACTTAGGATAAAATATACCTTGATTATTCAAAAATTTTTATTGAATAATACGAGTATCATTTTCGGATTTTTAAGTTATATTGGAGAATGTGCAGTTTTTAGTTTAATTCGGCCACTATCACACCATATAAACCAAATGGTTAAAAAAATGTAAAATTTTTCTGTTCAGTTCTAGATAATTTAAATAGTTATAGCATTGGGTTAATTCTTGTATTTCTTTACATTTTATCTAAATACGGAAAATATTAATCGTTATATTGAGAAAAAATATTTGCGTAATATGTTTCATTATCATTTATCCTTTTGTTAAAAGCGTGGGTATCATTGCCTACGAAGCAATGGAATGTTCTGCCGACACACAGAAAGGACAATATTTTAAATTAATCTTAACCATTTTAGACCACAATGAGTAAATCTACATTTTTTATCAGTCACTAGATCTTAATTTTGATAGCAGAATTTTTCCAGGTTCAACTAATTACTAATTACAGAATAATTTAGCTTTTATATTGAGAAAATTCTATAAAATCATGTATCTATTATGATTTTTTGATATGTATAGTAGAACTAATTATCTCAGTATAGACTCATACTGAAAAAATCTTCTATAAAAAATAGATATTGGTATCTTCAATGCTGTGATAGGACAAAATCTTCAAAGTTTATGATTCATAATAGTCCAAGGCTGCTATTATTTTCATTGAACTATCGAGATGCATCAATCACAAATAGAAATATTTCATTTGACCATCAAATGATTTCTATGATATATCACGATTTATGGATATCTGCATGAGATTGAACGTGATAATGATAAATACCTCAAGTTACAAATTTAATAGGTCAAAGAGTTCTAGTCTACTACAAGTACACAAGTTTTTGAAATATCTTCGGATAAAATAAGTCTGCAGTTAATGCACATTTTCCTCAATGATTTCAAGATAATACTAAAAACCGATATTTTCTTTATTACATCAGTACATGCCATGAACATATATGATTAAGAGCATCCAGATTCATACTGAAATAATCGTACGTGCGTCATCCAGATAAATTATACATAGGCTTTTATACATCAGCTACCAAAATGTTACGCTGGAAATGATAGTATTTTTATACCATGGTGTTATTATTGATGTACCGCATGGGATAATTTTAACAGAAAAGAAAAAGTTGTAATGTTCAGGCCGCGTAATTTTTAAGTAATTGAAATAAAAAAAATACCGTAAACAATCTAAGAAAGCCTTTGGATCGTTTATCAAGGAAAAAATTTGTTGTAGGATTTCATGTATTTAAGTTATTAACTATCATTGCGGTATTAAACTCTCTTTAATATTTGGAATTATTTAAGTTTTAATATAGCTTTAAAACTTAGAAATTGTCATTGCTGTACTTTAGTTATATGAAATTTTATTTTTGCCCTTTATTCGAAATTAATCTAGGCATATTTTACTTTATTAATAAACAGTGCCTTTGTTACATTTAAATCGCTATAATTTTGAACTACACGAAGTAGCAAATGACCCTTTTAATCTAATTAAAGCGGATTCGGATGTCTTTCTTTACTAAGATGATTAGCATTCTAATAATATATAGTGGGAAAGCTAATTTACAAGTTGATCTTACTATTGTGCATAAACCATACATTATTAAAAAAATAATTAAACCATTTAATATATATTAAATCTTTAATACCATTTATTAATTACTTACTGCTCTGATGCTGTACTTTAACAATCTACTCTTTATTTAGTATTAATTTTTAAAATCAATTATTATATGAGATGTGCTTTCCACGCTATATTGCACTTGGATGAATTTCTTTACGTTTCTCTAACCGAGGAGACAAAATGCGACTATCAAGCGTGTTTTTGATGTGAAATTTAGTAAATTTGCATTCCTGCAGTATTTCAAAGTATGAACTCTTGTTTGTAAATTTAGAGTCCAAGATACAGACACAAATGTCCTTTTAGTTCGTAAATGAGATTACTTTAAGACCAAATGTAATGAGACGGCCGTTTTATAATTAGTATTTGATGAAATAAGTCAATTATACTGGTTATAATTATATATTCAAAGCCTACTGTCAACAGTGAAATTATATCATTAACAATGCAAAATTCATCCGTTTATCTCATTTCTAATTCATTATTCTTACGATGATAAATTTCTATCTGAACTATCGATTTCTTATCTTAGCATGTGTTACAGTGTTAAATACTGTATTACAGTAGAAATAACTATGTTAGGATAATTCTGTTAGACTATCCTTATTTAGTTAACTTCTAATTTGGATATACTGTATTTTAATATAGCACTGACTTTTTATGACAGTGACACTTATACACATACTGAAATTATAATAGTTATAATAGGGAATGCAAATCATCTGCTTACAGTTCGAATCATTGTGATTGTAATTTACTTATGATAGACTGTAAATTATCATGGAAATGTTCCGTGCTAGGACATATCGTAATCTGACTATTCTGTATTAGTTATTACATGTCTATGTTCGTAAATACTGTTGTCTGCATTAAGAGAGCAGTAGCTAAAATTAATATCTAATTCAGTAAATGATTCTAATGTTAATTGTATTAACTATGACTCATGAACTATTGAGGAATAGTATATAAATGCAGTATATCGTGAAATAAAGAAGAATTGTCCAACTTAGTGTTTAACGTAAAATACGAGGCGTTTAAGTCTTTGTGTAGTCTGCTAGTAGAGCAAAAGTGCTCGTGATAGTGCAGATATCGTTCCTTGATACGTAGTTCAAGGAATTGACTTATTGATCGTAGATTACGTTATCTTGTTGCAAAGCTGTTTTGTGACAGCATGCATCACGTAAATCATACCGCGGAATATTATTGTAGCTGCAGCTAATATTAAAACTATGTCTAGTGATGAATTATGTACAACCATTAGCATTTACAATTGGAATTCCTCTCTTAAAATGTTACATGTACATAATTTTATTATTATAACGATTTTAATTTTGAGTGCATATGGTTAAAATTCGACTAAAATTAAGGTTTATTGGGAAATATTCATGACTTAATTGGATTAAATAAATAATGAATTCTATTGACTTGCAATAAATACAACTGAAGTTTTCATCTTGATTTCTTTTAGTTTCAGAATCAACTCTTACTGCCTCAAATAAATTATCCTGAAATGGTTAGTAACAATTCCAGCTTGTATCCTGAGTATGGGCCGACATCCTTAGCAACTATTCGTGTTGCTGCTTACTCCGTGATAGGTGTAATATCTATTCTTGGCAATTTGCTGGTTTTGATAGCTTTCTATAGAGAAAAATCGTTGAGAATTCCTACAAACTACTTAATCATTAATTTAGCCATTACTGATATTTTGAATGGAATTTTTAAAGATACTTTTATTATATTGGGCACGCTAACAAATCTTCATATACGTTATAAGGCATTCTGTGACTTTGATGGATTTATGCAAATATTACTTTACTTATTGACAATTTATTCCTTATTAGCTACAGCTATATTCCGTTACTTAGTCATCATTCATTCTTATGGTAAAAAAATTACTGTTCGAGTTGTGAAGATAACTGTTGCTATCATTTGGACTTACAGCCTCGCGATCAGTCTTTCGCCAGTACTCGGATGGAATCGATATGTTTACCAACGAATTGAATCTGCATGCTTACCAGATTGGCTGTATCCAGCTGGCAGAAGCTACGTTATGTATGCATTTATCACTGATTCCATTATTCCTTTAAGTCTACTAGGAATCTGTTATTTGTGTATATATATATTTATCAGACGAAATGCTAAGAGATTCATGGTTAATATTAAGAAAATCCAGCCAGATAGCCTGAATAGAAGTTTACTTCGCAAATCCATTAAAAAAGAAATCGAAATTACCAAAAAGATGTTTTTCGTATATTTAGTATTTGTTATTTGCTACTTTCCCTATACCATAGTTGTATTTATCTTAGCCCCAAGTGGTGTAGCAGTCCCTCCAGTTGCCTTTTTCATTGTTGGTTTTTTAGTAAACGCGAATAGTGCAGTTAATCCCTTCGTGTATGCTGTAATCTATAAAAGTATTAGAAAAGCCTACTATGAAATTATATTCAGGTATATCCCTAGTTGCTGCTCTTTACCAGCTTCCACGTTGGATTTTAATCAAACAAAATCATCTACTGCGATCGACAAATGTAGTACTGATATTATATATGACACTGGCGATCAGAGAGAAAATTTAGTGTTAGTAGATATTTAACCTGCCTAGCTTAAATGAGTAGTGGACTTGCAAATTTATTTACTAGACATACATAATGAACCGGTATTGATTTGTTACTAACAGACCATCTATTTGGATTAGTAGAAATGAATTATTCTGTCATAATAGACCTACTTTTAGAGTAGTATAATTTTATAACCATTTTCAGACTACCGCGTTTCATTTATGCAACATTGATATATACGTAATATATATATATAGGCCATATACCTACGCATCCACTATACTTTTATCCATAAAATTTCATAATACTGGTACGCTTCGTAATTGTAATGTTGATGTAAAGAATACAAAATATAACAGATATCATCTAGCGAAAATGTACGCCATCATTTGAGCTGTTATTATTCTTAGAAGCTACACTATAATGTATCACAAAGTATGTGATTACAATAGATCACCTTTAATAACTCTAATTACTGCTGGTGAATTATAATATGCAAAGTAAAATTTATTCTAGCTAGCTGCTATTAAATTAGAGTATCATTGCGATTACGACCAATTGCTAAGTTATATCTTACTGAAGGGATTCAGTCACTTAATATAGTTGTGTGTACTAAATGAGATATACTTGTGCCTATGTATATTTAATTTACTTTATCCATTTATCAATAAATATTTAAAAGGTTGCATTTTCCAGATGTTATTCTTTAGTTTCGATGCGATTAGTAACACACTAATCTTTTCAGGGTAAAGGATATTTTTGAGCTACTTGGCTCTAAAGCATGATTTAGGATTATTATGAAATAGATATAAAGTTGAAAGCCAAATCTAAGGCTGTCCGTTATTTCCATAACAGTTACGCTTTGTTTCGGTAAAGATCCCAATCATATAGAAAATTGTCGACACGTACACAAGTTAAATAATCAAGTTATTTTGTTATCGTTGCTTCTAATTTAAAGTTTCTAGCACCAATAAGTATGTAAGCAAGTAATCCTGCTTATTTTAGTTTTTCTAAGCTTTTTATCCAAAAAAATATTTCAGGATCAAAGTATTCATCACATAGTTACGTCTACACTATTAAAGTATACTAATAATTAATTGTTTCTATTAAGTTTCGCAACAACATGGTATCTGTTTAGGCTGACTGTAAGTAATATTATTGTCGTTGAATTTACTTCAAACTCGCAAGCAAGTATTCAAATACAACCTATAACCTACGACCAATATTCGTATACTGCCTCTTTCAAGCCTTATTGCTATACATGTACGACTCAACACAGTAAGGAAAACGTAGTCATACTCGTACAAATTAATTACCGAAGGCTCGCTATTTTGCGAATCAAGATCTTTATTTCTATTTTTACTAATGTTTGACGTAAGAAGGGAGGAAATCAACGTAAAAATATTACGTCTTAGAGTCAATTATTGTATAAACAAAAAATAGTAGCGTAGTAGAAATAGAATTTTAAAATTCTATTAAGATCGACTTTATATTGCGGTTATCAATTAGCCAATTTTCCATGTTAGAAATTCTTATATCAGAAGAGATTTATTTAGCTTGCATGCAAAATAGATAAATGAATATACTAAGTAATTTTGTTCTGTATCTAGTCATAGTAATTATTGTATTGATTTAGGAATGCTCATAAGTTTGCTTTGATTTAAATAATCAGTACATAGATTTACTATGCACGTCGTAGAAATGAAGTAGGAGTAAAAGTACTAATAGATTGTTTTAGTTATCAGATGAACATTTCTGATCAAATAGAGCAATGTTTTAAATATGACATACAAGTTGTAAATTCTATAAAGCAAGCACTGTGTGATAATTGGATTTTAAGTAAGTTTTAATGTACAGGAATTAAAGTATTCTATTTTAATGCATGACGATGAGTTTATCAATAAGCACTGATTAATCGTAGACGTACTCCTACCCAATACGAAATTGATGTATATGCCCAGTATATGCAGTAGTAATTATGGTAATCTATTTTGATTGGCGATGATGAGTTCAATCGATAAGCTTTGATTGATCTTAGACATACAGTACTCCTAATCAATACGGCATTGATACATATGTATATAACACACACATATAGTAATTAAGGAGATTGATTTTAATTGGTTTTTGATTCGTGATGATGAATTTATCAATAAGTACCGATTAATCTTAGACGAACCCATACTCAATAAGGTATTCAGCCCTCTACTAATTCTTTACGCCTATCTGTATCTTTCAGTAGTTCTGCAAGAAATGTTTTGAATATCTAATAACTACTGATGATGTTAAGTTTACCAATAGGTAGGTACTGATTAAGCACACAGATATCTACATACTGCTAGTCTTTGACAACTGCCTACGCCGAAACTAGTTCGATCAGAAATTTTTTGAATGATTGAACTAGTATCGACGTGCAAGATCCAAAAATCTCCGAATACCGCTTTTGATCATTGAGCTTTCATGATAAATTCGTAATCATACCAGATATTAATATCATTCAATTTTCCTACAAAATCAACTATTATCATTTCACCATGGATGTAGATTATAAGCCAATGAGATTGATTCCATCGTAGTAATTAAGTAATCAACTGTTCATAATTAAAAATTGGGATATGTGATCCTTGCCGGTGGCTTGATCATAGAATTACGAAAGTAGTTGTTAATTATTCTACTAGTAAGGAAGTCTTCTGCACAAAGCGTTGAGATGATCTTCATCTCAATATTAGTACTAATTGTCGGTTTACTAATCCAATACTGCGTTTCACGATAAGTTGAATATGCATATTAATAACATCTACAATACGGTACAGCAGTGATTGCTTATCCTTGGATTCATGTTATAAATTTGAGATGTTTATGTTATCAAAGGACAGGGGTTGCTGAAATTATTCTTACTCGTTCTTCCCTCAAATCTTGCATGTACATCATGTCGGAAATAGGGTACGTTGTAATTTTTAGATCAAGATTGTATTTACGGTCACTGTCCTCATGTCGTTGTTTATACTAGAGATTAATAAACATCGATTTGCCTTTCAGTTCATCAGGGAATTTAAAAGAATCATCATTGCGCGATCCTGTCTGGACAATGGACATCGTAGATCATTTAATAAATGGACATCTAAGCCAAATTTTAAATGTGTCTACATTAAGTGATGGTCTATCCAGGTTGGGAAATCCTTTCATAGTAGTTAGATATCTATGAAAGGAAATTGAACAGAATAAGTTTTGTGTATCGAGATGCTTTTCAGTATCCATTGATAACTGAGAAGGTTGACTGTAAGGTGCGAGTTTACGCTATTCTACGTATATCTTGAAATGAAACTTTAATTATCCAATAGTATATTAAATTATAACGTTACTAGAATATTTAAGGAAGGCCTGATCATTTATTTTGAACGGAACATCATACCGGCAGTAAAATTAGATGGGTTAAGAAAGATGATCGAATTTCACTAAAGCAGTGATATAAAGTGAATTTGCATCTCACCGATATTTGAACAGGAGTTCAATCAATGATAATAATAATTATTAATATCCATAAAAATGATATTATCAAAGGCAATAACGTACTAAATCAGAGCAACTTTTATGTGGTACAAATAACGAATAAGATCGTGCAAAAGTATTTCTAGTCAAACATTAACATATCTACCTTGAAGATACTATCAAACACCGCAAACGTTTAAAGGTAAATAATTAGTTGGTCAAATCATTGTCTTTATAAGTACAGATCTAAGTTTACCATCTGCCTTATAGCAAAATAGCAAGCATATTTTAGTTCGATATAGTATTAAAAAGTCCACCCGTCGTAAAGTAATCGTCCAAGATAATTTAAAGAGGGATATAGACAAAGCACTAACATGTGCGCGATCGAATAAATTACACATGAAAAATATGACATAGGTACATGGCTCGGATGCAAAATTAATTAAGACAGAAGCAAATGAATGCTTTATATTAGATGCTAATGCTACTATCATTTAAGTATCTACGAAAGGTCTAGAAATCGATATTTCCTAAAGAAATGCTATATGTACACCATGGCATATACTTCATTGACAAATAATGACAATTAGGTGACCAATGTTGTGATTGACAGCAGAGTAAAATGGTAACTCAATTTAAATACAGTGCTAGCATAAAAGAATCACAACGTATATCAATGTAAAATGTTGTTAATGGCGACGTCGGACAGAATCTTTTTTGCTAGTATGATTTGAATTATTATTTGTTGCTGTTTTCTCTTTAGGAAACTAGTATTGCGACAAAAAAAAGGACAAAATGAATCTTATTGTTTAAAGTGAAATCTATTCTATCTATCAACAGCAAATGAAAATAAGAAATTAGTGCTTCACTTCCATATCGATATAACATACCTTCTTGGCATCTTTGACATGTTCTTGGAGATCGAGGATTTCTTCCCCTTCATCTTCCCGTGTATCCCGGATTTCTCTCTCATTCTTAAATACCACACCGATGAATTTTGTAAATATAAAGCTGAACCAGTATACATTCATTGTGAACAAAATCCAAAGTAATACTACAAAAGTTGGCATACAAGGCGCAGTAGGTGCAAAATAGGCAGCCGAGTGACCTACGGTGTGTAAGGCTTTAAGAGGGAACCAATACAGTCTGAATACAACCCTAAAGGATAATGCCATCATTAAATGGTTTAATAAACTCTAATTCACTTGATCAGTTTACTTACAACTAGCGTCTATATTGAATTTACAGAACATGTAGCAATTGGTAAGCAGGTTAATGATCAATGTTACCATGTAATGGCAAATATGACAAATCCAAAATTGGAAAGGTACTCGAATAGCTGGTGGATTTTGCCATCGCGTAACTTTAAGTATTGCATTAATTTGGCAAACTCGAGGCAAATGTCGGTTACATCATGAGTGAAAATGATCAGTACTCCAGCATTATGATATCTAAAGGAGAAAATGTGGGAAAACATATGATAAGTTCAATAGCAACATTTTATTGGAAGGATTTTAATTCAAGTCAGTTTACAATGTGTCACATGAATTATCGAGCTTTTAGCAATATTTCTATCATTGGCTCAGTGACATGAATGCACGCGTTGAGTAAAACAAAAAGTACTGGAATCAGTTATGATTATTGAACCGTTAACGTTCTTAAAGACCATTGTTTGAGCCATCATCTAATAACTCTATTCATTCTATTGCTATATGGCGAAAGTAAACAATCAATTTACCACTAAAATACTCTATACTGAGAATTAAGCACTGATTATAATCATGTTTTGTACCTGAAAGCATGAGAGAATCCAATCAAGGTATCGGTTAAGATATGATGTAGAATCATCATCCACGTATCTTTGCGTCTCTCATCCATGTACAATGTGGCGTACAGAGAGTGGATGTAGAAAGAACCTTGAATCAAGTATACCATGAGAATATCCACTTTGGGCAGAGCTTGAGGATCATAGTCTACATCCATGATAAATATGGCACTGATTAATGTAATTAGACACCGAACAAAGCTGAACTAACAATTGGTTAAAAGGAATCGATGCGGGTTACTTGGCTAAAATTATCGTTGTATAGTACCATATTGAGTTGCTATCCGTTAATTAACGACAAAATGAAAAGTAAATAAATAAAAAAAAGGTGCAAGTCACAAAAGCGTTAATATCCAATAGTGGATACGTTTACCAGAATTTCATCAGACTGTAAAGTCCTACAATAAGCAATGAATACAGTACCAAAAGTTTGACTAGAGACGATGGCTTTTGCTCAAACTATTCTTAATACGCTAATTTATCTATTCAAGCAGTATGTTAAGCCAAGACTGTACAAGAACAGCTGGGTAACGAAGGTAATCCTGTACTGCTGATCACCCCCAAATCATTTGACGGTACACAAGAATTCATTCAATTTCTTGGCAAGATCTGTACTGTACTGCTTATCCGATGTAGAGTCAACGATGAAAGAAATAGTTGACTGTTCAAATTATATTTATTTATCAACCATTCACTTCAGATGAAACCGTCTCGTTTACAATCTTGGCGAGAAGTAATTGCACTGCAAATGCGACACAATCTCAAGATGTTGAGATTGTGCCATCATTGCAATTAATTGTAACCAATATTGCATAGGGACGTGTAAGACAAAGTTTGTACTGCATTTAGATCGATCATCTTACTTTGAAAGCAAGTCTTGGAATCCGTAAAGATAGAATAACCGGCATGGAATACAACGTGATAACAGTAAGACCATGAAAATAAGTAAAAAAAAAATTTCCAAAAGCTTTCAGGAAATTTTCTTCGATTAAGATTACTTAACTTTAACCAGTTGGCTAGCGGCTATACGCAGGGAGGGGAAAAAAATAGAGAATATAGCATTAGTGAGAAAATAATACATAAAAATACATAAACTGGAGGCTTTTCAAATTGTACTTTTCAATTAGTATTTTCAATATTATCAATGAACAATTTCAATGAAAGACAATGATAATCATTTCTATTTCATATTGGTCGATGATGAAAATAGATTGCATAATGTGATGGGCACATACAGTAGGGTAGAAAATGGTTGATCAACATGGTCATGAGTAACCGTTGACATTATGTTATTGAAGGCCAAAAGTGGTGGACTATCACAGCATCGACAATGAGAATTCAACTCGTAGCGGCAGTTATCCAACATCATGTTGATAACAATGATCACTTTTGTTGGTGACGAAGCGACGTTGTTGCAGCGATTGGAAGCACTTATTTCATGAGTTATGACGTCTATTGGAAAGATGTCGTTTGATCTATGTGTAGTATTGGCATGTTTGCTTTGATGTTACTGACATGATGGCACAGTAAAGGGTTAACTAAAGCAGATGTGTATGAACAAAAAGCGTTGGATTGAAATATTGTAGTTGATAGAAAAGGTTCTATTTACAGTCACTATTGTAAGCTAAAGGGGATTGCAATCCATGATCGCTGGATGTTATTTGAACTTGTCATGGAAAAGTCTACTAGCCGATCTGAAGACATGCATCCTACTTTACTATACTATCTTTGTATAGTGTGTGATGGACACTTTTGAATGCTTTTGCATCATCACCAATGTTTCATTCATGGTACTCCAAATGTTGAGTAGGATTGTTTTGTTGTAGATGCAGTCATGAAAGTGCAAACGTCGCCATGCCAATGCTAATGGTTGTACGCAACTTTTATGCATGAAATGATGCACGCGGTCAACCCTGAATTGCCCATTTCATTTGGCATCGTTCACCTATGGCAGGCAATCCAAATACAACTAGCAGAGTGATTATGGGTGGACACTGTACAACTCCTACAATCTACCATGTAGAAATGCATGCAAGAGTACGCTATGGATTGCGTTTGTTGTCGGTGATGAAAACGAGTGCCATTCAAGCAAGCATGATTGGAGTCAACATTGTACACCACTTGAGATTTGAAAGGTACCTTTTGATATCAATCATTTAATGAAGTAATGATGGTATTTGAATGTAAACTTGCCTCTCCTCAGTCCTATTGAAAGGAGTCATGTTGTATTAAGGATTACTGATAGTAAAGTGGGCTAAAAGGAGCGCTTCATGATTGAAAATCATCTTGAAACTGCAGCGAAAGTTAGACTGTCGAGTGGAATCCAGTATGAGCTGTTGACTGGACTCACCGTTTATATTAGTTGAAGAGAGTAGTGAGTTGATAGATGGTATCATTCATGTCATACAATACAGTGTATGGTATGCAATAAACAGGATGCATTTTGGTAGGCACATCGATCAAGCTAGTAGAGATAGAGACGTTTAGTGGAAAGGTCGCCTACAATCATCCATTACTGTGGAGAGTTATACTACTTGTGTTGATGCAATAGGTTGGCTATCATGCACTCCTTGGACTACTTGCATAGGACATTCCCTTCTTCAACATGACATATTGTACTTACAAAGGCAATAAACTTGGTGATCCAGTAGCGAGCAAGGGTTAAAAGCACTGCTACTAAAATAACCAGTTGAGCTTCGAAGGCAGTCATGTTGAAGTGATGGAATAGCTCGACGAGATAACCATTTTTCCATTGACCTGAAGGAGTTAGGCGTGATGCTCTGGTGGCCATCCATGAAGTGTAAGTATCCGGTATTAAAGTTAAAAATGTCGGATGATCATTATGGGGAGGTAATAATCGAGTTACATCTTCAGCGGCATAATCGACAAACGCCATGTTGACTGGGGGGGGGAAAATAAATTGCTTTTGCCAATTTGCCCTCTTATGTTGAAGAGAACGCCACCGTACAGTACTCCGCGTCCAGTACACTACAGTACTATAATGTATAGCTCCATTACACTGTACAGTACTGTACTGGAACCTGACCGTCTCCACTCCAGTACAAAGTACTGTACACTGTAGACAGTGTACTGTACACTGTAGACAGTGTACTGTACAGTACAGTACAGTATACAGTACAGTACAGTACTGTATACTGTAGGAGTTGATCCACTGTCATGACCCATTTCAATTCCCATACAATACAGTATGGGAGTTGATCAACCTGAAACTGTCATGACCAATTTCAATTCACATACAGTACTGCATAAGAGTTGATCAATGTGAAATGTCTTGACCAATTTCAATTCACATACAGTACAGTACAGTACTGCATGAGAGTTGATCAACGTGAACTGTCATCACCAATTTGCAATTTGTAGGAGAGTTGATCAACGTCGACAGTCATGACCAATTTGCAATTTCCAGTCCTGCACTGTATACTACAGTGTACAGTAATAGACTGGACTCGGTACCATGAATTTCACCGAATGAAAGTACTGTACACTATGACAACTGAATAGCGTGATTCTCCGGGTAATAATAAATAGTAATAAATAGAATAAAAAAGCTTCAACGCTTTTATGGGTGTGACCTGGTGTGATCATGCACCCAACGTTGACACCAGTCTACACCACGTGACCTGAACGCCGTGCCCTGGCCACCTCTTTCGACTCTTATTAGACTACTGTAAAAGCGACTTTTCTTCTCCCCAATCGTTCAGTTTTTCCAGTCTCCATGGATCAATCACGTCCAAGTTGCATGCCACAGAGCTTAACCATGGATTCTACATGAATCATGATAGGTTTCTGTGAACTCGACTGGGACGACAATGATGGATGATTCATCGCGGCGATGGGAGAGTCTAGCACAGTCAATACTGTACAGTACTGTAGGTTGTTGAGTAGTGGAAGATCAAAGTGAATGCCATTATACTGTACACTGTACACTGTACAGTATAGCATCCGAGAAGTTAGTTTCCCACTCGCTCGCTGTTAGCAATGAAACAACAAATGCATGAGTACAGTACTGAACAGTAAAGTACGCGGTGTCTACAGTGTACAGTACATCATAAAATCACTCCAATGACTCAAAAATCAATACTGTACTGTACTGTACCCGTGTACCGTACTCTACAGTGTCCAGTCCGTCAATGGACCGTAATCTACAGTACAATCATCGGTATTTGGACTGTACAGTACAGTATTGGATTCTACGGCAGTGTACTGTATGGTAGAAGTCAAGAATGCCTTGTTAACCCCTAGGGAGACTGCGCTGTTCTGAGGCAGCACGTGCAGACAGACAGAATCAGGCCTGCATAAACATCATCCAGGAAGGAAAATGAACGATCCAGCTGCACACTTGCACAGTGGACGACAATTTGACTTTAATTTAAATGACAGGATTGCAATACTTTCAACTACTGTACTCGTCTACCCTATCGTACGATGGTCCACAATCCACGGCCACCGTAGTTATCGTATAGCTTGTTTGATTCAATTGCATTCATTACAGTACAGCCGCAAGTTGACTTAGTAGAGAAAGAATCTGTTCATCAATCATAATAGACCGGACTGCTGTCCAGTTAAAAGGCCAATTTTGCAACTTTTCTCCGGTAAATTCTACACAATTTATTTTGCTCGATATTTGCATGTACATTGACTCGCATTATTACACTCATTCCAGCGAAACAGGATTGGACATGACCTAATAGCAAATACAAACCCATTCTTTTCCCTTAAAGCGACTGCAGTGACTGTCCTGCCAGACTATCACTACCGTATCATCAGTGCAGTAAAAAGCCATCGACTTTCTCTTGCTCTTTTGACGTAGTCGTTAATGCCATTGCAGAAGTTTACTATTAGCTAGAATGGCAGTACTGTATAGGGATAGTAATCAACAGTAGCAGGGCATTTCTAGCAAGAATAGATATTCAAAAAAGACCAATGACTAGACCTAATGGAACTCCATAAATAGGAGGTAGGTACTGACGGACTCTAAGTCAACAATTACTGCCTTCAAGTAGTACCGGCGGACCCGAAAGAATGTCCATCCCCATGATTGAGCTCGAGCTTTGTCATGGACAATAAACGACCGGTCTGGAAATAAACAAATAAATAAATCATTCAAATTATAGCAATAAGATCTCTTGTACGTACAGCATTATCTATATACATTATGCAGGTCTAATCTGAATCTTATTAAACTGGAAAACATATACTGTAGGTACATTACGTAGAATAAAAAGGATTACAATATGTCATATGCATGATGCAAGTACTGTAGAGTCGACATCCTAGACTCAAAAACATATGCCTAATCTGTGCGTTAGCACAACAAGCCCAACAAAATAGCAATCTTGGACTGTTATACAGCACAGGACTGTAACGATTTCAGCTAATTATAGTTGCCATGTGCTAGGGAAATACACTGATCATAGGAGTTAAGACCTGTATGTCTTAATAAAGTAAGTGAAAAATTTGGAGTTGTCGGATTGCAAACTTACGGTGAAGAACCCATACACTTTAAGGACATAGAAGACTGAGACTAAGCAGACATGGCAATACCATAGACGAACTTAATTGTACAGTAATGTAAGCTATCTTTTCTTTCTGGTACCGTACGCCAAGGATAGCGATGCAGGTCAAAATGTCCAGATTTTTGCATAGAGTAAGGACATAAAAGTCTGAGACTAAGCAGACATAGCAATACCATTGACGAGCTTAATTCTAATGTAGGCTATCTTTTTTTTCTGGTACTGTTCGTCAAAGATAGTGATGGCCGCAGCGATGCAGGTTAAAATGTCAAAATTTTTGCTTAGAGTAAAAACATAGAAGACTGAGACTAAGCAGACATGGCAATACGATTGACGAACATAATTATAATGTAGGCTATCTTTTCTTTCTGATACTGTACGCCAGTGATAGTGATGGCCACAGCGATGCAGGTTAAAATGTCAAAATTTTTGCTTAGAGTAAAAACATTGAAGACTGAGACTAAGCAGACATGGCAATACGATTGACGAACTTAATTGTAATGTAGGCTATCTTTTCTTTCTGGTACTGTACGCCAGTGATAGTGATGGCCGCAGCGATGCAGGTCAAAATGTTCAAATTTTTGCATCGATGTCAGAACAGACGATGGAGTCATGAATCTTCAGAGTCATCATGTAACATAACAGCAGTAACTAATAAAAAATGATTGGAGTGAGATCTTAATGTGACAAGTCAAAAATTAGAAAAAGAAAGCAACTCTTTCTAGCATAATAAGACGTTGAGATAGGTTCAATCATATATGCCATCTACCAATTGAAATCGAAAACTGGAGGAACAGATCATCTTCTGTAACATAATTAATCCAACTACGAGGTGATACAATTACTTTTTATCATTAAGCAATTCAATTTCAACCTTTTCACTCATTCATGATGCTCATATCTCAATCCTAACGAATGGATATTGGACAGCCTTTCTCAGATGTGCATTATGAAAGGTGAAAGTTTGCATAGTAGGGACAACTATTAATTAAAAGTGCATCTTGAAATCCAATACAGAGCAGCAACAATGCAAAATAATTTGGATATTGTTCAATGATATTTTATGTACTCTTTTATATATCTAGCACTGTACGCTGGTCCTACTGTGTAACGAACGAATGACATCTATTAAAATGTTTCATTTTGATTATCTTTGAAGTAAAAATAAAATTAATTTTGTATCAACGCAATAGTAAGACATTGGCCTTGAGTGAGCTATGTTAAGGAATTTTCTTTATAATGCGCTGTAGCACATCTGTTATCTTTATTAGTACACTGTAATTTGATACTCATGGATATCTTCATATCAGCCTATTTCTCATACGTAGAAACGTATTCTCCATTTCCAGCTAATGTAAAAACAATTTATGCCATATACTGAGATTATTGCAACACAAAGATACGACTGTAATACTCATTAAGAATAAAATAGCCGCAATAACGAAATACGAAAGAAATAGGTGAGAAAAATACATACCCCTAGAGACTACCGCACTTCTCATCGCTCAGTCCTTGCCAACGAATGGCAGTATACGCATATATGACACTGTATAGGCCAGCGTAGCACTAATCTTACAGCTATTCCCATATCCACTTACTTTTATAGCATTTATCATTTATATCACTATATTGACATTAATAGCACTACCGAATCTGAGATATTTACAATATCAACGGATAAAAATGATTCTCGTTTGATCATTCTTCTCTCAGGTATGCTGTATAGTTTATCTATTGTTTTTTTTTAAATACAATTATGCAGATTAGTCTTCGGTTCCTCAAACTCTAATCACATATCGCACTTTTAAAATAATACCATTTATGCTAGCTTATCATTCCGATATTTTCTTCTTTTACTAAGTTATATGGTTTTAATGTCAATTTTCCAAATAGTTCAAGTCTCTTTTTTACACACATGAAAGCGTACTTTATTTCTTTCACAATTACTATTATTACTTTAACAATTATACCTTGAGCAAAAACACAAAATGATGATCTTTAGTTACATGCTGTGTGTAGGTATTTTTTAGCAATAAAAACTATTTGAATATGCAATTTTTGCTATTGTAATAAATGTTATAATGGATAGAATGAAGAAAATGGAACAGTATTGTATTCATTTGACTCCAGTCCTTAAGGATTAATTTGAAACGGTCTAGTGAGTAACGCAGGCTATTATGGAAATTTCCTTAAACTTCCCACCTGCATAATTTCACTGAGAGCCTATCTGCCGCACTTTTTAGCGTTCCATTCATTAGATAAATTTCGATTTACTAGATTGAAATAACGTAAGTAAAAAGTGACATCAGCTAGAGATTTGTATAGTAAGAATGGTGTTATATTTACTAGAGGTATTTTTTTACGAATAGGATACTGTAGAATAACATCAGATATTATCCATGCATCATCTTAGAAGTACTGTATCGTATGCAATGCAAAGGATATACTACATTATTTGTCGAGTATAACTAGATGTAACAGTGTGAAAAGCGGAATGAATGACATTTTTAACTAAGCATCAAAAAATTCCTTTTATTAACAAATGCTAGCTGATACTCGTAATTCTGGTAATCAACAAGTATATGTACATGTATCCTGTACGAGTGTACGTGTTTGATATGGCACTATTTCTTACTAGGTCGATTTAACCTTGCAAGGTTAAAATCATTATTATTGGTAAGAAGTAAATCTACTTTCAAATTAAAATTGATTTACGGCATTCTCTTAAATGATGACTTACAAGTATAGTAATTATAATGGTACTACTAATATAGGTATGTCAATAAAATTCTCTATAAACGTAGTGTGTTTAAATAACGATTAGATAACAGAGAAGTAGATGTAATGATAATTAGGTAAAACGAGTAAGTTCATACTCTTGACTAGCAATTGTTATAATGATGAATATTAACTTCATTGATAGCAAATTAAAACAGCAAAGGAAGTACACTACTCATACATATACATTTATCGCAGGCTAACTTCGGGTGCAATCTTGCAATTACATTTGCATAACATTGCAATATATAATTGGCGAAAGCGTCGAAAAATAAAGTAATATAATATCGGATTGATAGAGCTATTTAAATTAACTAACCAACCGCAAAACCAAATATACCAGGCTGGAAATTCAATTCCAAAGGGTGAAATAAATAACATCGATATACTATAAGGTATATAACAGATTAAAAAAGCAAGAAAGACGTAAAACATATTTCGAGTTAACTTGACATTGTAGCGAATCTTATCCAGTCGTGCTGATTTATTAAATACTTTTAAGCTATTATTTCTTGCAATCAAGTAAATTTTTAGATAACAATAGTTAATAATTATTTGCGGTATTAAAAAGTCAGCTATAACGCAAAATAAAGGATATGTAAGTTCATACTTGTAATCTGGAACGCAAGCAAATTCTTTCTTATGATAGAAATATCGATTCCACTTTATAATTGGCAACAAGGAATGAACAAGTGAATAGATCCAGATGATAATTATCGTGATACAAACTTGCTTATGACTGACAGAGCGTCTATGCACAATAACCATGTAACGAGAAACTGCAATGGCCAAGAGTGACATAACCGTTAATAAATAACATAATGTTTGCATAAAACCATTAATATCACACCAGTCTTTACCATATGGCCAACCATTCGTAACTACACCGATAATATTAAATATTTGACGAGATAAGCATGTAATAATATCAACAATGGCAATATTTATTAAGTGATAGTTGACTGGTACACGAAGGCTAGGGCTTTGATAAAATATGATCAAGACGATTGTATTACCAATTAAGCCTGTTAGTGCAGTAAAAGTATATGCTGCAGCACGTAATGTCTGCTCTACTTCTGATATTGGAACGCCACTGTAATTTCCGTTGATATAGTCGCTATAATTACTTTGACCATGATACATGCTAATTTGTACGAGATATGGATATGCTTTAGGTATGATTTTGGATTTATGGTGATATTAATCTCACCTATCAGGTATGGTGCTAATGATGATAAATATACGTATTACCTATTAAGAGAAACTGATTGTTAAATAGTATATTTATTAGAAAGCTTTACAAGATCACATCTATTGTTGTAGGCCAAAGGAATGAGTAAGTTGCTCTTCTTAATTTGATGTTTTTACAAAATTTTAAAGTCAAATAGATATTTCTAACTTGCAAATTTATAAAGTAAATTAGACGTTTAAACCCAAAATTTATTGTATTCATTCTATTATTTTCAGAATATTTTAATTCGAGTTTGAATTATTTGAACTATATTTACACCCGCTCTTTAAGTTTAATTTAAAATTTATAATATTACCCATTTGCTTATACTATCATTATTACGCTTAGAAGAGGAGTAGTAATATTTTTGTAAGGTATCGGAAACTTGGGATTTGATCGGTATGATGAATCACTATTGAATACCATTAGATAAAGTAGGAATTTACCTGCAATAACGTTCGAAATGAAGTAATTTTGGGAGTTTCCGATTGAATTTCTCGTGTCGATTAAGTTGAGCTATGGTTGTTAAATTAACAGAAAAACAACAAAAATTTATTCTTTATTATCCCTGATAGCATTTTCGATAGTAATCATTGATGACACGCGACAAATAAATTTCCATAATTAATATACGCGTCATTTGGCATGAAAATTTATATATAGGGAAGATTGAAGTTTCAGAATTGTTCTAGCAAAGCAGGCTTTGTTACACTTTTAGCTTCTGATGGATGATTATAATCAGAATGATAACATGTAATTCTATTTTGTTACCAATTCTTCTATTGTTATAAAGCTATTCATAAGATAGCTTATTATTCCTATAAGGATGACTAATATTCATCATAAAAAACAAGGCGTCTAATGGGTGTCGTTATGATATGTGTTTCTTAAATTATCACAGAATTATAATTAATAGTAGCTCTAATGGTTTTCGTGAAAAATTAAGCTACTAAAATTAATACTATAAAGTAAATATTTTCTAAATCAACTGAAAATTATAATTAAATATCATTATAAGATATTTATCCATCTCGTATCATTATATATTAGTTCTAGCTATTTATTATTATATCTCCAAATATATGATGACTTAAAATTTCAGCGGTAACGTAGGTATTGAGAATTTTGATTTTGAACTGATAGATGACAGCTAATGAAATAAATATGGTATTTACGTCGATAACTTGCATATTTTATTCATATATTCAATAAACGAGCGTAAGAAATTTATTTAAATACTGTGGATTAATTGTATGTCGGTAAAAACCACTTATTTACAGACATAAATAAATTATGAATAGTAAAAGCACTTCCTATCACGCTTATAGCTGGGGGCAGATGCTATATTTACAACTTCAAATTAGCGCATCAATAGCTGATATGAATTAAACTGAACCTTTAACTCAGCTTTCTGTTTTGATAGATACTAGCCTATCATATAGTAAATAGAAAGACGTATTGATATACCTGTTATCGATATATTTAAAGTGGCATTGAGAAGAATTCATTATTCATCGTGATCGTAATATAATTTTGCCCAGTGGCATTTTGTATTCAATACTAATAAGTCTTTACTTATGGAGGATATATGCATCATTTGGGCTATTTAAAATACTTTTAATTTATGTATTAATTTTATATGAATATACAATCATATCTAAAATTTTTTAACTGCTTATAAGAAGGACAGATTATGCCATTATTTTTCAAATAATTTCGTTATAAATTAAGTAGATGTAAGATATAATCTGCGAAAATATTATTTATTTACCAATCAAGATAATATTTTGGTTTTGTCTCCTTAGTATGGACTGCATACGTAAATTTGCGTGAATCATGTAGAATAACGTGTAGAATGGTAATAAATGATTAATTTAATTAGCAGTAATAACATTGAAATGTACCATAAATCAGGTGAATGATTACTAAAATATTCAATAAAACATTCCAATTAAGAAGTCTTGACGTAAAATAAGCGGTACGTTATCTTCCGTTGAAATATATTATCTTATGTTTTTAACTCTTCCTGCGTGTTAAATTTATCTACCATACCTTCAGTAAAGTTATGTCAAGTTCAATCGAATAAGAAAGTAACCTTTTATTACATTGTATAAATCAGAGAATGGACTGACATCTTATACTTGAGGAAAGGGATTTATTCAAAATATTAGTGCATGAATGGATAATCGGTGACAGATACAGTTAATACATTATCATGGTGTACAATAACTTTGCAATATGTCATAAAATTAATTTGATTATTAAAATATTAAATTACTATTTAAAAATTATTCAGCTTCTAAGAATACCGTATGATCATGCTGATCAAATGGTCAATCCCCACTTTATTCATGATCGCATCTCGAATACGTGTCTTTTAAAAGTTTGTGCTGTAATCTTTCATCTAATTAACTATTAACGAGAAGAACTCGAGAAAATAGAGGAAAAACATTTGATTTCCTTGATTTTGTGCGATTTATGTAATAAAAAATACATTAAAGCTTTAAAGCTTTCACTGTTGTGTTTCCAAGTTAAATTTCTATTTAATAGAAATTTATGATTAAATTTGCTGCAATGAACCTTTAATCATGGTTTTAGCTTACATCAATCTGATATTTAGAAGTAATATCTTCCACGACAAATGTCGTCTGAAGGTTCTTTATAATTAGTCTAACTTGAATATTATTTACAGTAGACTAAAATACAATGCCATTTTTGTTATAGCTTGTCACGGTAATGTTATTTCAATTTAAGAGACATTTTGGGTCATTGAAGTAATATTTAGCTATTTCGTGATACAATAGAGTCTATTTTGAAGGTCTAACTTTGCGTGAGGCGCTATAACTGACTCGATGATTTGATAAACATCCCGCAAATCTTCCTTCATTGATTATTTCGCCGGAAATTGCTATATTCGTTTCCATATTTGATTGTGAACGTAGACTGAACAATTATGTAACTGATGTAGTGATTACATACCACAAATGTTAACATTTAGCAAGTGTATTACTTAATGGAAGGTGCTATTCTGTAATCATGCATTTACTACCATATCTATATTCAGTGTGTATGTATATATCATTGATTTACAATCGCAGTTGATTTACTACCACTTTATGTTCCTAGATAGCTATTTAGTTGAAATATGTTATACTATATTAAAATGTAAGTAATGCACAAGTCATCTTATAAAAATACTTAGGTGAGAACATCTACTAACTAATTCTTCACAGTCAGACTACAACATGTCCATTCACAGAATCATTTTAGTGCACATTACAGCACAGCACAGCATTAAATTTACTGTAACACATTTATAATTAGAGTAATTCCTATTGTAAGTAACTAGTTGTAATATATTATCACTATAATATATTAACCAAATTTAGATATCTATTTCT